TTTGCAATATATTACAACCCATCTTCTGACTGGTGTTCTTTAAAAGGATCAATGCTATTCCTGTGGAATCCCTAGAGTCCAAAATTTCATTGATCTTGGGACTTGACATTTCTCATTACGTGCTATAGCTTCCAACAAGATAGTCACAAGAGAGGCAAGTTAACATTGTTGTCTCTTCAGCAGACACTCAGAATACATTGGGACTTCATCTCAAAGCCAATCTGCTTTTAAAGTATGTAGTTTTAATGTTTATACCACATATAAGGTGCTTTATAGAAAGTTTGGTATACATACATACAAACATTTTTAAATCATAGCCATGTGAAACTTTGAAAGAGAATTTACCGTTCATCTTTTCTAATCAAATCTACAAATATTCATTGGGTAATTTGTATAACACATTGTTGTTACGCCTTTCTATTCCACTTTTTAAAAATAAGTCTTTTAGCTCGTGTACAGGCATTATGCAGACTGTGAAAGGAGAAGCCAATTGCAAAGGAGACTCCAGCTGTGCACACACACCTTCTCTGGGCTCCCATTGTGTATGCCTCAGCTCTGGACGCTGACCCTCCTGCCAGCCACAACCTGTCACCAAACATCTGCCAAATCACATCCCTCTCTTTGTTTGCATCCAGGCTTCTTTTAAAAAGACTGTCCTGGTGCCCAGCTCCACAACTGCCACTAACCAGTGCTATTATAAGAAATGAAAGCATGGGCGATGAACAGCCCAGAGAGATTTGTAGAGTGTATTTAGATTTAGATACATTGAACAAGTTTGTATCACTTCTCGGAGCAGAGAATCTTAGCTAGGATTTAGCATATGTTAAACCATCTTTTTAAGATCAGAGGAAGCATAGCTCCGTATGTAATAGTTCTCACCATGCAGGGCTTTTGAGGACCAAATGGTAATGGATGTATTGGAACATCCATAGCACAGAGCCCATTCTGCAGTAGACCACTCAGCCACCCCATCCCTCATTCTAACACAAGGAGACTTTCCAGGGTTCCAGACTGAGAAGGGAGCTCCTTGCCACTCAGCCTCTGCTTTTCCTTTCCCTTTATGGGACTAAGACTTCAAGAAAGGTCTTTGGCCTAGATTGGAAGCAATATATACAGAGTGACTAATGTGTTCTGATCAGAGAACTTCAAGTTCTAGACCAGGGGGTGTCCGGGCTTTACACAGAGCCTAGCTTCCTGAGGAAGAGGAGGTGGATGATACTATTAGTTGTTTTTAGAAGGTGAGCGTAGGGGAGTCATGTACTGTGACCTAGGTCTGGGCTCAGGACTTCAAGAGAAGAGGTTGTCCTGCAGTGGCAGGGCTCAGAGGAAAATGTAGTCATTGTTATCTCTGAAGAGGAAAAAGAAGTTAGAGTGAATGAATAAATACTTTCACCATATCTATCTTCCATTCTTCACTGAATACTCTATGAGTACATAAGGAAATGAAACCACATCACGGGTGAATTTGACATTTTCCAACCCACAGAATGTTTTCACTTGCATTATCTTAGGATCTTAGGAAATGCAGGTCCAAGCATATTTGGTAACTGGAACAGACCTCCACAGCACCCGCCTGTGGCTGAGGAGTTGGGGTCTTGAGAAGGGACTCCTGACCGATACTGTTCTTCTCAGCTATTCCAGCAAATTTCTAACCTAATATGTTGAAATAAATCTTGAAATCATAGTAGCAATGAAACCACCATACCCTTTGACTAAATCCCTTATTCTTGGATTTTAACTTTAAAAACTCCATCATATTTTATCTAAGAATAAACATGAATGAAAATACCTTCTGCCATGATTCTGCAGTGACTTCCCCAGGGTCAGAAATAAAATTTGAATGTCATATACCAGGAGGTTTATCCTCTTGCTGTGGAGCGGAGGTCTTAGAAATCCACTGGCTCTGTTTAGTTCTAAATCAGAGGACCACAGCTTCCCCTGCATATCAGTGTCCCACAAATGAGGTTTAAAATAAGAAACATGAGTTCTGTTCTTTGCCCATTTCTCTAAAAGCCAGAGACCATCTCACTGAAAAACCTCTCCTGTCTATGTGAATAAGCAGCATCTAATACTAGTATATTTTTTATCATCCGTTTTGAGAATATTGAAATGACCTTTGATAAAAGGAGGATGGAATTTGTTTATTTTAAGCCTTTTAATATTTGGAGTTTCCAAATGCATGTCTATGAGGAATCTATAAATTGGACGTGTTTGTTCTTCATCAGTTCTAGTCATTCCAGCACATGGCGAGTGCTTCTGTGGAGGCAGTGGTGGGGCTGAGGGCGATGACGGGGCACTCAGAGGGGCGCTCCACCTGCACCTCCCTCTGCACTGGGCCCTTTAACCCTGGGCTACATCCATCAACTGTGATGTGACAGTGACAGAATATTCCCCGGATTTTGAAGGATTGTTGGGGTGTGTGACATCTGTCCCTAGCAACAAAATGAAATATAGGAAATAAGCTTTCCCGCCGCTGCAGGTTTGCCAACTCAAAGCCTGGAATGGCGTTTTATTTGCCTTTCACTTAAAGAAGGAAACAGTGCTTTCAGGGGCCCTAAACAATATCCCCTAATAGTTAAGTTCCACAGTTTATTCAGATGATCTGGGGAAATTGTAATAAAAAAAATAAAACATTTTAAACCTCTAAATCAGACACGAGCCTTTGAAAAACTCATTTCCTAGCAGAAAATATATAACATGCATAAGGAATAGTTTTATACATTTTTTTCTCAATTCCCTGCAATAGGATCAGATTGCTTTTTATTTTTTCCACAGCACATTAGGGAAAGGTCTCAAAACTATTTATTTTATATAAATGAATTAAGTGTATAATTTCAGGGTTTTCCAGTATGCTCGTCTCTCCAAGTTAAAATTATCATTTAGAAAAATTAAAGCTGATATTACACATAAAATCTTACCAATACCTTTTTAAAGATTTAATTTTTATGGATACATAATAGTTGTACATATTGATGGATACAATGATACAATGTGTAATGATCAAATCAGGGTAACTGGGATATCCAACACCTCAAACATTTATCACTTCTTTGCATTAGGAACATTCCAAATCTTCTCTTCTAGTTATTTTGAAATGTACAATAAATTATTAGCCGTAGTCACTCTATTTTGCTACCAAACACTAGATCTTATTCCTTCTATCTAACTGTATCTATCTAGTTGTATTGTTCTACCCATTAACCAACCCCTCCCCACCACCATTGCCAGCCTCAGGTAACCACCATTCTGTTTATTTCCTCTGTGAGATGAATTTCTTCACCTCCCACATATGAGTAAGAAGATGGGACAGTTGTCTTTCTGTGCCTGGCTAATTTCACCTAACCTCATGTCCTTCAGTTCCATCTATGTTGTTGCAAATGACAGGATTTCTTTTTTATAGCAAAATAATATTCCATTATGTAAATATATCTCATTTTCTTTATCTTTTCGTTATTTGTTGGACACTTAGGTTGATTCTACATCTGAACTATTGTGAATAGTGCTGCAGTCAACACAGGGGTGCAGATATCTCTCTGATATGCTGATTTCCTTTCTTTTGAGAACTCTTATCAATGCTTAAAGCTTATTTTACCAGGGAACCCAGGGCATCTTTGAAACAATTTTTGTTTCTTTTTCACCTTTTTCCTGCAGTGTGAAACGTAATTTAACAAATTATATAAATATGTTTCAGACAAATCCAGGACTGCTGACATTGTAAATGGACACTCAACCAATAGTCAAAACACATTATAGCAACATCCATGTGTTTAGAAGAAGATGGCAAGCTAGCATGAACTGCTGTCCCACTTCTCCCACACTCCATCTAAGAGATACCTCAGAAACAAAATTGGAGCTGATGGGTCTGAGAAAACGCACATAAATCCCTGGGGAGACAGAAGATAGGCGGGTCTTAAGATAGGCAGGTCTTAAGAAAGGGGCTCTTGGCCGACCAGAGTGGAAGATGTGGGGCGCCTTACTGGGTAAGGCCTTATGATTATGCACTTTCCTCATGAACTCCCTGTGGCTTCCTTCTTGCCACTGTGGGCAGAGAACTGGACCAGCAGTCCAGCTGGCCAGCACCCAGAGGTCCCATAAGTACCAAAGAAGGGGCTGTCCAAGGGGAGGCGCATCTGCCAGCCCTGGAACATTTAACTTCCCCCAACCCCAGTGAGGGCCAATAGTTCAACCTAGGAGGCAGCTCTGGGAAAGAGGGGCACCAAGACCAAAGTACAGGGTGGTTCTCTGAGAGACAAGATGGGGGCTGGGGTTGGTTACCCCACCAAAAATAGGAATTCACAGAGAAAAACAGGCAAGCATGCAAGGAACACGAGTGCTAGAAAAGAAAGATCGCAAATGGAACAACCTATATGGCTGATGCAGAATAAGCTCATTTCCTTCCAGTAAAAGAGAAAAATGTAGAACTTTTTACAAGAGGCATAATATTCTCTAAGTCCTTCAGTTTATGAAAGCAGTTAGCAGTGAAAATGCTTTTGGGATATAATTCAGCTGGACTTTTTAGCTAGGTTCGCACTGATAAAGCGAAGTGGGTTCAATTCCAGCCCTTAGCTGTTGGGCAAGTTGAATCACCTTGCAAAGCCTTGGGTTTCTAGGCGATAGACTAGGCATCGTAAGAGTTCCTACGACACAGAGCCTTACCATAAATACATGAGGTAACACAGATAAATGCCTTAGCAGGCATTGTACCTGTTTCATAATACTAATGGAAGAAAAAGAATAGCCATTACCACTCCCGTTATGTTCTAAGCATGTCACATATGTTAACTTGTCCTGTCATCTAAACAGCATGTATAGTAGGTTCGCTAGTTATGTGCATCTCACAGAAGAGGAGAGCAGAGAGGTTAAGTAAGTGGCTTATGGTCACACAGCTTAATAATAATGCGCATAATAAACATGGGTATTTATTGAACGTTGCGTTGCTGGTGTAGCTCTCTCCCCCTGCCATTGGTCTGTAGTGCCTCACTGCTGCTGTTTTCTTGCAGGTGACTATCCTGCACCAAGAGCCGTCCTCACAGGCCATGACCATGAGGTTGTCTGTGTTTCTGTCTGTGCAGAACTTGGGCTTGTTATCAGCGGTGCTAAAGGTCAGAAGTCATTTCTTTCATTTTCAATGTTTAGGAACTTGACGGTTTTCTCACACTAAGCATGATTGCCAGTTTATTTCTTCCAGGAAGCTTCCCATAGACAAATGGTATCCGAAGTTATTTGTAGATGTTTACTTTTATGATTAATATTTACTAGCACTAATATATGTATAAAATTTTATATAGTATTTTGTGGTCAACAGCATTCTAACCAGAACACTGATAAATTAAATTACAGTGTATTCATATGATGCAGCCATTATAAAAGACATTTAAAAGACAAGGGGAAAGTATCCCTGATGTAGTGGGGGAGGTGAGGGGTCAGGTCACTCATCATACACGGCCTTGGACCCCCTTCCTCTGTAAGTCCCTTTCTTTATAAGGCCAGGGGCTGTGTAGAGGTTGGTGGAAAGGAAACAAAGATTACTTGGTTCTTTGGAGGTTTGGTTTTGTGTTTGAGGCATACTTTCGCTCTTGTCACCCAGGCTGGGGTGCAATGGTGCAATCCAGGCTCCCTGCAACTTCCGCCTCCTGGGTTCAAGTGATTGTCCTGCTTCGCCCTCCCAAGTAGCTGGGATTACAGGCATACACCACTGGGCCTGGCTAATTTTTTGTATTTTCAGTAGAGATGGAGTTTCACCATATTGGCCAGGCTGGTCTTGAACTCCTGACCTCAGGTGATCCACCCACCTTAGCCTCCCAAATTGCTGGGATCACAGGCGTGAGCCACCACACCCAGCCTCTTTGGAGTTTTTGTAGAAGACATTTCATTTCAGCAAGTCAGGAAACGTACGTCCTAGTTATGGCTCAAATAGCAATTCTCTGTAGGAAGACTCCCAGGCAGAAAGGAGCCCTGGCTGCTGCTGGAGTATCACCGTGGTGCACAACCTGGAGGAGTGAGAAGGCTGAAGGGATGTGAGGGGCCTGGGACACAAGCATTTGTAATTTTTTTTTTTTTGTTTTTAATGAGTATAGTTGGAAACCATTGAAGTTTTTTTAATGGAGGTGATGAGATCGATCGGTTTGGTTGTTAGAGCTCATTTCAGCTGTTCTATGGAGAATGGATAGAGTCTGAAGGCTGGCACCATGTTTTTAAAATTTTGGTATCTAAGAATAAATAACCCATAAATGGACACTAAGGATATCTTCAGCCTTTTAATTTTAAAAAGTAATAATATGTGTAATATCATTTTACCCTGTGAAGTTAAAAAAAAGGACAGTAAGTGACACATAGTGTGCACCAAGAACGAGACATTTCCCACAGGGGCTGCGTGACGTCAGAGATGATTGCTGGTGTTTTCCTAATTCTTTATAGGGCAAGTCTATTACTTTAGTAATCAGGACAAAATTTAATAATGTCACTTGCTTTGTAAAATATGTGTCTATTCAGATCAATTAAAAATAAGCATGTAATTCATACACTGTTTTGTGGAGATCTTTTTGCGACAAGGGAATAGATAGATAATACCAAGCTATAGTGAGCAATTTTTATGAACTGATCAGTGAATTTTTTACCTTATCAACACTATTTTGTAAGGGTGAAGAAACCCAGAAACAATCAGAGCCAAATGTCACTCTTTATCCTTCTTTCACACTCTTGCCTCACTATTCATTTATGTAACAGACAAAGTATGTTTCTGTAGGTTGAAATAATAAGTTTTCTCAATTTTGCTTTTACATTTTATGCACAGATGACAGAAAAAGGTAAAATGTACTTGACAGTAATGTATTTATGTGGTACAATGCGTAAAATTTTGAGGCTACTTGAGAAAATGAGCAGCTGTTCTGATAATTCTATTAAACTTTCAAGAAAAGTTTATAAAAGCATATTAAGAAAAAATATCTGGCACACAAAATCTTTTATTCTCACATAATCTGTGAACTATACCATTTTGTTATGAATATTACCTGACAAAGGAAAGACAAAGTATTTACCTGGTGAAGAAGTGTGCAGCGCAGGAGTGTGACATGTGACAGGTGCTCTGGCTTTGCTCTGTTTAAATATAACATCAGCGCTTGGCCTGGCCAGCCTACCTCTTTCATCACATCTGAGTGCACACTCAGCGAGGTTTTTGGGTTGGTGGGAGCTACTATGTCGTTTGTCATCCGCAACTGACCCTGGCATTGATGTCCCCACTTTGCAGAGGGCCCTTGCCTTGTCCACACCATCACTGGAGATTTGCTGAGAGCCCTTGAAGGACCAGAAAACTGCTTATTCCCACGCTTGATTTCTGTCTCCAGCGAAGGCCATTGTATCATATACTATGAACGAGGGCGATTCAGCAATTTCAGCATTAATGGGAAACTTTTGGCTCAAATGGAGATCAATGATTCAACACGGGTAAATCTGCATACTTCGTGCTAAGTAGGACTGAAGCCAGGAGATTAAAGATTGATTGTTTTACATTAAATAATTCATAATAGAATTTCTGTGCCATCCAGATAAATGTCTTCTAGATTAAAAGTATATAATTTCATGTGGACTGATACTTTAAACAAATTCAAAATTCATTTAATTGCAAGTAATTAACTCAGTGAATTAGACTTCAGAAATGATAGCTGTTGTTTGATTAAAGCTTAGACCCTTAAGAGGGTTTTTAAAGCTCCTTTTATAATTGTTTCAGCGCTGCACCCTCACAACATTAAAAGTGAGTTTATTTTCAAAGATTTCTATCTTTAGAACCCTAAACAAAAATTATATATACCCATTTACCCTTCATTCACAAATAAATTATAATTGCTGGGTTGTCATTATTAAACACTGTTTTGAAATATGCTTCTTCCATTTGTTCTAAAATTCTCTACAATATTAATATTCAGGATTTAACTAAACATGTTACTTAATGCTCAAGTTCTTTCTGGATTAAATTGGCAATATTCTCTTGGGAATTTAATCTTGATTTTAATAAGACCTTTTGTATATGTAAGAACTTCTATGAATTCCACATTGGGAATTCTGTGGATTGAACTTGACAAAAGTTGGACAAATAACTAACAGTAGTCAATAATGACAAGGGAACTGTACTGAGTACTTTTCAGTAGTGACAGTTGGCTATTTAGGAAAAATTGAGAGAGATGGTTGTTGTGTTTTTTGTTTTGTTTTACCTTTTCTGAAGGCCATTCTCCTGAGCAGTGATGGCCAGAACCTGGTCACCGGAGGGGACAATGGGGTAGTAGAGGTCTGGCAGGCCTGTGACTTCAAGCAACTGTACATTTACCCTGGATGTGATGCTGGCATTAGAGCAATGGACTTGTCCCATGACCAGAGGTGAGCTGCGTCAAGGACAAGTGTCATCACTGAGAACTGTCATTGAAGGCTCTCTTCATTCTACCAAGGGTGAATTGTGCTCTGAGTGCAATTCCAGCATCCAGATGAAAGGAAAACTGGCAAAGAAAAGGGGAAAATGAGGGGAAGAGTAAGGATTCTAGTGAGAGAGAAACAGGAAGAGAATAAGAAGGAAAAAAAGAAATGGATCTGATGAAGAACAGGCGCCTCCAGACATGTTTTAAGGGCCCAAGACATAGAACTTACTCCCACCAAGTTCCCTGTTCTCAGATCCTTGCCTAGTCTCAGACAGGCCACCCTGGCTTATATGATGTGAGGGAAACACGTATTTTTCAGCAGAGGTGGGATTCAGTGTGAGACCTACTTCTAGCTAATGAGTTTCCAGCAAAGTGCAGTGTGGGGTGGGCTGTAGCTGCCTCCCTTTCAACAGCATGTGGCATTCATGCATTACCCAGAACGGTCTTTTACCCCCATGTTCTCATTTACCTGTTTCTCATTTACGTTATTTTGTTTTATTGTATTTCCCTAAAAATCTTTAATCCTTTAATTTACTAACTCTTTCTTGGAAAGAGTTGATATGAACGTTAATCAATTAATGATTTTCCATTCTTCAATTTGCAATAAGATTTTATTATTTCCTAAAATTTACCTTTGGGTTTCTTATAAAGTGAAAGTAATATTAGAAATATAAAGTCTAAAGTTACTAAGCCTTTAAAATAAACTACAACCCTATAATCTGAAGATGGCACGTGATTTCTAATTTTTGCTATTTAACAGAAATAAGAAAAGCTTGTTGACTGACGTTTTTCCCAACTACTTGTAATATTCCTCATAACAGTATTGGTTTTAAAATAGTTTAAATATTAAGACACATAGTAAAGTTAACAAAGCATCTTCATGATATAATAAAATGGTACTGAAGTCATCAGGAAAAACACTGTAAGCTAATTTAGTCTGGGAAAGGATGTTTGGGCTGCAGCCCAGGCTGTTTCTAAAGAAGGTTTAAGGTTATTATTGGAGTGTTCCAGAGTGCGGCAGCCTGTACTTACAAATAAATGGGAATGGTTTATTGTGTTATTATTTGTATATATGTGTGCTTCCAGAGTGTTTGAAATGATTTTTGTTTGTAAGTAGTTTCAGTATTTCCCTGATACTCTTACTCATTCGTGTATTCATTTGGCTGCCATCACCATAGGTTGAGTGCAATGCAAAGTACTAAGGATCCACAGTAAGAAATTGACCCCAGAGAGCTCAGATCCTCATAATCATTGAATATGAGGGCACCAGGAACAGACTAACAGAAGAAGGAAGGGATGAACTCTTCTTGAGGGCGGGGGAGGGCAGGAAAGACCTCAGAAGATGCTTATCCATTCACTAGGCATGAACAAAGAGGGTGGAGGGAAGAGCATATTCAAAGTCGCAGTAGTATTAGGGGGTCTCCAAATGGAGGGGGGAAAGATACTAAGTTTCTATTTCTATTTTAATCTCATCCTTGGTTTTGATTATTTTGTCATTTTATAATGAATAGCGCATGCATATCAATTATCAACTGGTAAACATACATTGGGGATATTACTCAAAAGGTATTTATTGGATAAGGTGTCGAATCAAAAGTGAAGCAACACTTTATATAGACAGAAATCCTGAAACCTGAGTTCAGTCAGTGGCAGTGGGACTGGGGAGGAACATCCCCGAAAAAGAAGCCTCAGAGCTCAACAGCTGATCAGTTAGGAGGGAGAGGGAGAGGAGACAAGGTGACTTAACCAGTAAAAGACCAGCAAGGTCAGAAGGTACCAGTGATTCATGGTGGACGTGTTGAATCTGAGGGTTTTGTGACACAGCCTGGCAGTGACCCCCACTTGACAATGGGAAATCAGCATCTGGGGCTTCAGAAACAGACGTCATTGCCTTTATGTCCAGGGAGAGTGTGGACCAAGAGGGCAAGGGGTGGAGTGATTCAAGGGGGCAAAGCAGAGAAAGGTCAAAGAGATAGGAAGAAATGCCAGATATCCTCAGAGAAGCCAATAGATGCCCAAAACAAGGCAGCGACAGGCACGTGTGTGATTGCTGAGAGAAATGGGGCCGCCAGCAGAGGCTGGAAATGTGGTTCCGTGGCCCCCTCCTGCTCTGCAGCAGGGCCGGCTGGCCAGGCGTCTGCAGGCGAACTGTGCTCCTCTCAGCAGAACCAAGAAGAAATTTCAGTCCTACTTCCATAAATACAAAAATAAGACTTGGCAAACTTTGAGATCATGATACTGTCTAGTGTAAAATGCCAAACTTTGAGATCACAATACTGTCTAGTATAAAATAGCAACCACAGAAATGATTTTATATCACTCTTAACTGCTGTTTCTGCTTTTCCAGGACTCTGATCACTGGCATGGCTTCTGGTAGCATTGTAGCTTTTAATATAGATTTTAATCGGTGGCATTATGAGCATCAGAACAGATACTGAAGATAAAGAAAGACCCAAAAGCCAAGTTAAAGCTGAGAGCACAAGTGCTGCATGGAAAGGCAATATCTCTGATGGGAAAAACTCGTCTGCATCGACCTCCGTTTGTGCATTCCATCACACCCAGCAATAGCTGTACATTGTAGTCAGCAACATTTTACTTTGTGTGTTTTTTCACGACTGAACACCAGCTGCTATCAAGCAAGCTTATATCATGTAAATTATATGAATTAGGAGACGTTTTGGTAATTATTTCATATATTGTTGTTTATTGAGAAAAGGTTGTAGGATGTGTCACAAGAGACTTTTGACAATTCTGAGGAACCTTGTGTCCAGTTGTTACAAAGTTTAAGCTTTGAACCTAACCTGCATCCCATTTCCAGCCTCTTTTCAAGCTGAGGAAAAAAAAAAACACACACACGTTTGATACTTTGTACATCAGATGCATCTTATTTAAAAGGAATACTTTTGTAAAAGTAAAACCTTGTATAAAGAACAAAATGTTTCTTAATTTTATTGTGGAGTTACAACTTGCATGTTCCTTACTCCTGATGGCTTGATGGAACAGGTGCATTCACACTATGAAACAAAGATCTGTCCAAGGACACAGCTTGTATGAAAGGGTTGAATTTGGGCTCCATCAGTAATTTTTGACATTTTCGCCAAAATATAGTTTGCACTTTTTAATCTAAATTCATCCCTTCTGAGTGAAATTTGCTCATAAAGCATTTGGATACTAAGCCATTATTTGCCATTTTGGGTACTTTATACAAAGAAAATTCAGCCCTACCCTGCATAATTTGAAGACACAGCAGAAAGGGGGCTTAGGGATGAGGTCCTGGTTTTTCTTGTATAAATAGGAGTTATGAGCGTTAGTTCCGTAGTAATAACTTCCCAGCACCTGCACATCTCTTCCAGAGTCATCCCACTGGCTTGGTGTGTATACATCAGGGGAGGATAATCTGATGCTAACTTTTTTTTTTCTCTTTGGTTCTTGAATAGCTTAGTTTCTTTAATAACAAGTCAGACTTTATTACAACAATAAACTGAAGTTATTCTTTTAGGTTCTCGTGAAATTCTCACCGAAAGCCACATTCTTAGCCTAAGGCACTTCATCTTTTATGATATAAAATGATGGCTATCAAATGATTTTCCATACATTGTACTGATCAAGTTATACACCCAGGGGTATATACACTTTCTTCATGTTTCTTCTTTGTATATTTGGTGACTGTATCGTCATAGATGTACATATTGTGTCGGTAGGGCTATGAGGCATGTTACAGGAATGTAATTTTCTCAGAATTTACACTCACTTGCAGTCATTTATTTAAAAAGATAAAACAAGATAATGGGTTCTTTGTATTGGCACTTTGCACCAGAAACATATCATTATTTATTGATGTGATTACTTATTTGTTATCCACCTTGTACTAGTAAGTTTTAGCACTGAATTCCTTCTTCATTGTTGTTTGTATTTATGAAATTCTGAAATTATGGGGAATCAGCATAGTGATTAAGTTATTCATCACCAGGCTGTAAAGCAATATCTTGAGTTTGTAGCTTAGAATTGGGAGGACACTGAACATCTGGAAGACAAGTCCATTTCATCTTGAGATCATGGTGAAATATTTTGGATATATAAATTCCTTAAGCTATTGTAACCATGTTTTATTGCAAAGATGTAAAATATGCCAGATGTGTGTGAGTTGGAAATCAAAAAAAGAAAAATAAAATATGCAAAGAATTCATGGATTGTTTCAGATTTCATCGGACACGTCACTAGCATGCTTTCATTGTGTTGTCACACAGGCTTCAGAAGTCATCATCATCTGATATAGAGCCTACAGCAGCTAAAAACATGAAATCGAGTCCTAATGAGGTTCTGCAATTTGCCGAAACCTGAGCTGCTCTGCCGGGCCATCTGGCAGGGATTTGGGGCAACAGTGACCGTGGGGAAACAGCCCTCATTGTCCATTCCACATAATCCACTTTGGGGATTGTCTTTATTTTATTTAAAAGGAACTAAGTAGTGAAGGTTATAATAGCACCTTTTTTGAGTATTATCACATAATGCCTTTTTCATTTGAAACCACACCTTCTAGAACTCATCAGCTACCAGGCATGGCACAGGCAGGGACTGAGGACCTGGAGAGGCTGAGCCACTGCTGGCAAGGGCAGCCACGAGTGGACTAAGGGGGGTTCAGTCACATAGATTGGCATGGGTGGTTGGGCCAGTGGCCCAGACAGGCCCAGAGAATGACAGAACTGCAGGCCGTGCTTCCATCCGCATTCCCAGAACCCAGGGGCAGACCCAACAGTAGCCTAAGGAAGGTTTGCTGCTCTTACTCTCCATCCTATCCCCACACCAGAAATCTGTCAGTCATCTGCCCCGCTGGCTCCCTCACCCAGCCCTCCTACCAGGCACTCCAGCCAACTGACTGATCACTACCTAAAGTGTCTTTTGAAACTGCCCCTGCCCTTTCCAGCACTGTCATCTGGACTATCCAGAAACCTCCTGACCTCTGACCTGTACCCTCCCATCCATGCTCTGCCCTGCTGCGGAGGCACCCATCCAGTCATCTCCCTCCCCGCCAGCCTGTGCCCCCTGGTGCCTCCCAGCACTTCGAAAAACCAACACCAATGGCTTAAAAAATGGTATTCTTAAACTCTGCTGGGTTGAAAATCCCCGGGGAGCTTATTTGTAAAAGCAGACTCTAGAGTCCCACCGCCTCCCCTCCCACCCCAGGCACTTCTTGGGCACATCGAAAAACCAACACCAATGGCTTAAAATGGTATTCTTAAACTCTGCTGGGTTGAAAATCCCCAGGGAGCTTATTTGTAAAAGCAGACTCTAGAGTCCCACCACCTCCCCTCCCACCCCAGGCACTTCTTGGGCACATTTTCAACAACACTGATTTGAGGGATAAATTCTAAGCTCAGTAAAGCGCGGAAGTCCTTCAGGAAACGCCCCCAGCAGCTAGCACCCCTGGTAAACCCGCCTTTTTGCAAGTCCCTGAGAACTCTCTTGCACCTGACTCTAAGCTTCCTCCTGCCAGGGGGCCCCTCTCTGCTTGCGCCACTTGCCTGCTTCCTTGTTGCAGATGGACCTAAACCAATTTGGTCATGCACAGTCTTTTTTGGCAGGTAAAGTTAGCCCCCAAAACACCACATCTTCACTATTTCATGATGAAAACAACTTTTAGAAACAGTCTGCTATGTGTGGAGATACCTTTTTTTTTTTTTTTTTAAATTGAGACAGAGTATCGCTCTGTTTCCCCAGGCTGGAGTGCAGTGGTGGAATCTTGGCTCACTGCAACCTCTGCCGCCTGGGTTCAAGCAACTCTCCTAGCTCAGCCTCCCAAGTAGCTGGGATTAGAGGCACACACCACCATGCCCAGCTAGTTTTTTTAATTCTTAGTAGAGATGGGGTTTTGTCATGTTGGCCAGGCTGGTCTTGAACTTCTGACCTCAAGTGATCTGCCCGCCTCAGCCTCCCAAAGTGCTGTGATTACAGGCGTGAGCCACTGCGCCTGGCTGGGATACTTTTAAATGAAACACATTTTAGTAAGCAGGCAAGATCTTCTGTGAGTTTGGTGAAATCCAGAGCTTGGATTTTTTATGTTATCTCAAAACCATTTTACATTTCGAAAGGTACGCTTAAAGCAGATGCACAAATATTCTAGAAATAGCATCCCATGAGCCTTGTAATGCCGTCAGCAGTCTAAATCCTCCAACCCAATCATCAAGCTATCAAGCCCTGGGCACCACCCTAAGAGTATTTGCTAAAGGCCTCAGTAGGCTGTTAAACCCTGGTTATGGAGAGGTAGAAAAGTTCAAATACTTTAGCCAGCGATACTGAATTTATATGTATATTTAGCATCATTAATTCCATCAACAAAAGAACATGTCTATCATCCATTAAGCTAACTTAGATGCCAATAATTTCCCCTGCTGAAAAGCCATTTCTAGTATTTACTATCCTAACTCATAAAGCTTCCAGTTTCTTTAGGATTAGAAAGCTGGAGTATTGGAATGACACCTTTCTGAAATGTTTATTTCTGATTAGGGCAACTGACTATCCCTAGGATGCAGTATAAATTAACATATCACATGTCTATACTGGATATTTTAAAGTAAATTACAACATGGTAACATTCCTACTTACACTTAGAGGCTCCCTGCTCGGGGAAGTCTTCCCTGACCACTGCCTTAGCCTCCTCACCCCTGGTGGGCCTGGCACAGCGCTGAGCAGTGCATTATTGTAACTCACATCTTTCCTCCATGTGGCTATGAGCTTCGTGGGCAACACAAAGCTTAAATCCTTAAGGCAGTGTTGGATTCAGAGTAGATTCTCAACAAATGTGATTTGTGGAATGTATAGATAAGCAGACAAACACCACATCCCTAAGCAGAATGACAAAGTTGGCTGAGATGGTCCAGAGCCCCCAAACTTCCCTCTTCTCATTGCTCCAGGGCCCACAGCTTCATGTCACCCTTTCCCAGCCTGCATGACAGTGCCTGCCAGGGAACCTCCTGCTCCAAGTACCACCTCAATCATGGGCCTATTCCATCAAGGTTCAGAGAATCAATTTCCAATAAGCACCAAAAGAGGGAATATTTTAAAATTTTAATTACTGCCCTTGACCCACATCAATTCAGTGGGAAGAAAACAGAGCTGACAGATGATCTGGGGTAAGAGCTTCTGGTGTTGCAGCCCATTCAAACTGCCTAAGAACAAAATCCAGTAACTGGGCTCTTCACTCTGAGAATAACTTGTTGGCACCCTCATCAGTTAAAATAGGCACAATAGCTACATTAAGCATTGTTTTGAGTATCAAAATACATAACAAAATGCCAAGCACCTACTAAAGCACCTGGCTCCCGGCAGAATTCAGCAGATGGTCATTTCCTCCCACCGTCTGGTGATCATGGATTAGCCTCATCTGCTCAGCATCCCTTTCCCTATTTACCTGCCACAGATCTTCCTGTGGGAAACTTCTCTTTTCATCATGTGATTTAGTAGGACTGCCAATTGTACCACCAGATCCCTGGAACTTCCTGGACTCAGGCCTGGCCAACCATGTCACCTTCATTTCTGGGACCTCAATGATTGGTCAGGGTTGTACATGACCTGAGTTGTTGGGCCAATGAGAACCCTTTTGAAAATTTTTATATTTTTAAGTCAGAAAGAAAAGTCTTTTTCTTCCAGAGTCACTAACCTAATCAATAAGAAATTGGGGACTACTAGCAACCCTGTTCTCCATCGTAGAGAAGACCTATTTGCAATAGGTAAGAATAAAGCCACGAGACATGAAAGAGCATGTGCACTTGTATGCCAGCCACAAGCTTCTGGGAACCTAAATTGCCCTCATATTTACAGATGTCCCAATTCTGGATGTTTGCTTTAGTCAATGACCAATAAACACTATTCTCTCCCCCTTACATTGATCAAAGCTGTATTTAATTATTTATTTGTTTTTTATACTCGAGATCAAATCAAATAACCCTTAAATCATACAGCTCCCTGCCCCAGCTCTCCACCCTTGCTTAGAAAAATGTAACATATTCCAAATTTGTTAGGAAACTAAGCATATTCCTAGCCTATGTATGACTCCATAATCCCACATTTAGATCTAGTTCCAAAAGAAATGCTTTTTCCATCTGTCAACACACATGGAAAACAATGCTCTTGTCAACTTTGTTCCTAATCAAATATACCTGTTGAGTTTTTTTAAAAATCCAGACACTGATATATGCTGTTAAGAATCAGAATGGTGGCTACTTCTGGCCAGAGGTAGTGACTGGTAAGGGCCATGAGGGGATTTGGGGGTACTGGAATGTTATTCTGGAGTGTTGGACTCTATCTCAGAGCTAGGGGTGTTACAAAGATGGGTCCACTCTGAACAATCGTTGAGCTGTGTAATGATGATTTCACACGTTTTTGTGTCTATGTTACAGTTTAATAAAAAGAAGTTCACTTTTAAAAAAAATTTTTTTAAAAGCACTGGCTCTTGTCACCACTCCGAATTTGTCTGCCCATCATCTGAATTTGGGACCACCATTGCCACTCATCCCTTTCTCCAGTGCTTTTTAGGTCTACTACCTTGGCTGCCATGTCCCAATGGGCACTTTTCTTCTGGTGACAGCCTGGCCCCAGTGCCTCCTTCTCCAGGCAGCCTCTCCTCCACTATCCAGTAGGTACCCTGCTGTCTATACACAGCTTGTACATACCCCTCCTTTAGCACCTTAGTGCAACTATAAAAAAACCAGAAACTGGGTAATTTATAAACAACAGAAATGTATTTCTCATGATTCTGGAGGCTGGGAAGTCCAAGATCAAGGCTAGCAGATCTGGTGTTCAGTGAGGGCTCATTATCCATAGATGACACCTTCTATGTTCTCACATGGTGGAAAAGACAAACTCCTTTGGGTCGCTTTTACAAAGGCACTAATCCCATTCCTGAGGGCTCCACCCTCATGTGCTAATCACCTCCTAAAAGATCCCACCTCTTAAAAAATACCAGCTTGGAACTTGGAGTCCTGGGTCTGTGTCCCAACTCCCCTGCTCACCAGCTCTGTGGCACTGGGAAAGTCCTCTAACCTTTCTGAGGCTCAATTTCTTCAGATGTGCAATAGATACAATAGAATGTGGATTTCACATTATTTGCAAATCATAAGGTACTACATAACTAAGGTTTCACTACTAAATAATGAAGCCCTCAGGCCTCAATTGGAGTTTTTATGACAC